CTCTGCTACTTGGTGCGAATGCTGCTGGCAACTTCAAGCTGAAGCCTATGTTAATTTCTCGCACTGCCAACCCATGTGCCCTGAAAGGTTACTCTAAGGCTTACCTGTCTGTCATCTACAAGGCAAATAAGAAGGCATGGATAACCAGCGCCATATTTAGCCAGTGGTTAAATGTGTATGCCGTCCTTGCTCTGAAGGATTATTATGCCAAGGGGAACCTGAACTTCAAAATTTTTCTTGTTGTTGACAATGCTCCAGAGCATCCTCCCAGTCTCGACAATTTACATGACAATGTTCAAGTTTTATTCCTGCCACCCAACACGACAGCACTGATGCAGTTTATGGACCAAGGCGTTATCGCCGCATTCAAGGCGTATTATTTACTGCATACCATGGACCAACTGCTCAAAGCTACCGACGGAGAAAATAAACCTACTATCCGAGAATATTGGCGTGCTACAACATTCTTCATGCAATCGACAACATTGGCAAGACATGGGAAGAAGTTTCAGAAAGTTGCCTGAATGGTGTGTGGCATAAACTATGGCCAGAGTGCATGAACAGTTTTATGGGATTCATGGACTTAGTCCCAGCTGTGAATAGGGATATCCTCAGCTTGGTTTGACAAGCAGGCTTTGATGAGCTGGAATCTGAGGAAGTCTTGGCTTCCCATACAGAAGAGCTAACTAATGAAGATCTGCAACTGCTAACAGAACAGTGCCGCTGAAGAAGAACCACAACGAACGCTAACTACCAAGAGGATGGCAGAAGCGATCGACATGATCCAGCAAGGAATGCAAATCTTCATTGATGACCCAAACAGTGAACGTAGCTCAAAGTTTGTAAGTAACATTGAGGAAACTCTTAGTTGCTATAATGAGATCTACAAGGCAAAATGAAGAGCAGCACTAAGCAGTCAACCCTGGATTTTTTTTTGTGTTGCCAGAAGGCAGAAGCAGCATCTTCACAACAGCCTGCAAGTGAGTAGCAACCAGCAGAGGAGGAACCCCAGTCAGAGCAGGAGGATCCACCCGCTGGGTTTCAGCAATTCGCCACACTCTCCCTCCACCACCTCTATCCATCAGTGAGTACAATACAAAATGATTTAGTTTATTTAAATATATACTATTTTCTAAAAAAATGCCATTGAATTTCCAAATATGTAATGTATTTCATGGGGCAAAGGGAGGCTGGGGAATGTAACTCCCGTACTTAATCTATTTATTATGGGGAAAATTTATTCCGTTAACGTCGTGGTTTCAGGAATGGAACCACGACGTTAAGCGAGGACTTACTGCATTAAGATATTAACATCAGAAGAGCTTTGAATACAGTATTGTATTTGATCTTGGAAGCAAAGTTTGCAATGTATTTTTTTTTATCTTCAATCTATTTTCCGGGGAGAGTGGGGGACTGGTGTAAGATTTATACTGTACAGTAAGGTTGGGATATACTGTATAGCGATATTTTATAAAAAAAAATTAATATCGCGACTACCAAAATTATCGCCAATTTCCAATATTTAGCGATGGAAATCAGGCAGGAAATATTTCAAATTTACCACCATGGCAAACAAATGCATTATTTGCTCACCAGAGGCACCACCGTGGCTGCTCACTCACTCACGCTCGCCCGCAGTGTCCTTCTGAGTGAGTGACGAGTCAGCAGCAGAATCTGCTGCAGATTCCGACTTCTAAGGCGAGTGTAAATGGGTTGCTAATGACTTGAAAAGTGAAGTGAATGGAAAGCTTAATACTGTAACTAATATTTTTGGTTTGTTTGTTTATGTAGGTGTGGGATTGTCAGGTGAAGGTGGCAGTGTAGTGTCTGCTGCTCCCGGGATGGCGAGTCAGCTGCCGAGTCTGGTGTTCCCTAGTCTGGCATTCCTTGATATTGAAACAGTTTGGTGTTCCCGAGTCAAGAGTGTTCATTGGTGCTTTAGTGAGTAAGAAAATAAACTCACTAAGTCTAGTTTAGTCACTTTTATTGGCCGCCAAAACCTAACCCTATTTTCCCCATTGATTACCTGTAGATGTATTAAATATCGTGACTTAGTATATGGCAAACATCCTTGGACCCTATCTCGCGATATATCCCGACCCTACTGTGCTGGGTTTCAATAAGATGGATTTTCTATTGGGAGTAAAATATAAAAGATGGAAGGAGATGACACATTTTCTAAATAAAATAAAATTTTGTATATGTATCCATATTCTTAAGTTCCAAATCCCTAATTCCTTCACCAAGAGAATGAAAAATTAATTTATTGTAAACTACAAAAAGTGCTTTTACACATACCCCTAATTCTATTGAGAAATGTTTGGTACAGTAAAACAAAAAATTCAATAATCAGAAAACACCCCCAACTCCTTACGATATACAGCTGCACGTGAAAATTCATGTGCCTATTCCCCATGTAATGAGAAAAAAAAAATGACACACACACACACACACATACATACATACATACATACATACATACATACTATATATATATATATATATATATATATATATATATATATATATATATATATATATATATATATATATATAATATATATATAATATATATATAATATATATATATATATATATATATATAATATATATATATATATATATAATATATATATAATATATATATATATATATATATATATATATATAATATATATATATATAATATATATAATATATATATATATATATATATATATATATATATATATATATATATATATATATATATATATATATATATATAATATATATATATATATAAATATATATAAATAATATATATATAAATAAATATATATATAAATAAATATATATATAAATAAATATATATATAAATAAATATATATATATAAATAAATATATATATAAATATATATATATATATATATATATATATAAATAAATAAATATATATATATATATATATATATATATATATATATATATATATATATATATATATATATATATATATATATATATATATATCTATCTTGATAAAATCACACGGGAAAATGGAAACAACGAGTACCTTAGCTTTCGTCTTTATTCAAGACATCTTCAGAGGCAACTGGATTACATGGACAGAGAGAGGCTTAAATATACAGGGTGACCTAAAAACATGGTCAGGTCATAATGATGACATCCACTAATCCCCACACCAACACACACGTAGAGGAGCTTAAGAGAAGGGTGGTGACGTGACTAGCCAGGTCAGGTCAGAAAAAAGGGACCCACAAAATAACTATCATACATCTAGATGGGGAAACTTGCATTTTGAAGGATGCCAATAATAATGCATAACAAAAATTAAAAGTACAGGTATCCCTCGTTTAGAGTTAATTCGGTTTATTGATAAGAAATTTTTACACCATTTCTCATTTAATATTTGGACAAAATTTGGTTTAGCATTAGGTTTTTGAATGACTTGTACCTGTAAGGGGAAAAAATGGGGATGAAGTGGCCTGTGAGATGGCATAATGCCATTGTTACATGTAATGAAACTATAAGTTTGGGAAAAAGTACTACAATACAATATTCAATTAAAATTTGTTTTTATCCCAATAGGCATTTTGCATTTTTGTTACCATTATCACTAGTATTCGTTTTTAGGTTAGTTCAATTAAAAAACAAACAAAATACACTAGAAAAATATCTCGTACAAATTGGGATAAAAATTTATCTTTACCCAGTACTCTAACGTGGCATTGAAATAAAGAAAATAATATAAAACTAAAATATCAAAAGTGAAGAGCATGTATGTAGGTGAAGTGAACAAATGGTTGAGGCAATGGACTGTAACTGCATTGCCTACTTCCCACCTAGCCACACACTCCCTTGAACGATGTGACGTCACAGTACCATACACACAATGCAGCAGCAGCCACATGTGTCTGAGTCAGCTGAGCAACTACCTGACTGAACTGTGTGGCATCACCCAGGATGGTTTGAGTGTGGAAGGAGTATTTTTTGTACATAAATGTGCCATTGTAATTTATGATATGCTATGTGATCAATTTTATTGTTTATCATAGCAATTTTTTTTTCATTCTTAAGTACTGTATGTAATTTGAAATTTGTTCAAATTAGGCTCACCATCATTTAACTGAGAACCACATCGTTTATATGTAAGTTTGGAGTTAATAAATCAATTCTTTAACTTCAAAACTATTTAAAACAAAACTTAATCATTATTATTAAGGAGTACTGTACATACTCAGCATTTAGGCCCTGCCATTTGAACCTGTTGTTCACCCTCTGTGCTTTGCAGTTATCCCCCAAATAACGATAATTTTGCTTATTGTTAGGTTTTCAGGAACGCAACTCCATCATTAAACGAGGGATATATGTAAATGGCAACACCCAGTGGGTGTCTACCATACATTTTGTTGGAAACTTTTAAATCTGATGTGTGCACCAAAATGTAGCGTACACTCTGCGACCCAACATTAGTCCCATTAATACATTACAAATTCTTTCAGTGTAATTGCTACTTTAACGAGTTAAAAATTCTATCAATTTCACTCTAGATCACAATTTTCTACAAACATTGTTGCTGTTTCCATAATACAACATTAAGCAGACATCAATAATTCCATAAATTTTGGATTTAACATTCATCAAGCCACTTCAATTATATAAAGGATGACCATTATGAAGTACAGTATTGGTGATCAGCATCAGCAAAGAAGTGAAAGCGAGTCTCACAGGCATGACTGCCCGTTAGGGACAGTGTTGATATGGTTCACTGTATACTAGTAAGCCTTCAGTACACAAGGTGGCAGCAAGGCCAGTGCTGCACTTCCCAGAAGTTGTAAACATTGGTACCCATTTACAAATGGATGAACTGGGAGTGCCAGGGAACAGAAGGCTAGTGTAAAACCACTTGACAGCCACACTCCAATTCTTTTACCCATGTGCAGAATAATAAGACATTTTCCTCCTTGGTATAAAAGGCCACATGACCAAGATCTTACCTTCTCAATGTTGAATTTCTCAATAGCCTGGGTGGCACAGTCAACAGCATCTTGCTGCATCTCCTCTGACATGTCGGCATTCTTTACCACGGCTTTGCGGTCTGACGACATCCTGTGAATTCAAATTTGTTAGGAACAAAAAGTACTTAAGTTTCCTGATACAGTACATTACAATTTCCAAACCCAGAGAACGAAAACTGGCAGTCCGTAACAAGAATGAATGCAGGTATGGCCAAGATGAAATCTTATTTTTGCCAAAAATCATTTAGTCACAGCCACCAAATTTATTCTGGGACTTGTGAAAACCATTACTACTCTCTGGCTAAGTGCAAAAAGGGCCAATGTCATAAAATGCCAATTTAGACTTTGGTCCATGAAACCCAGGTTTCATGGACCAAAGTCTAAATTGTAAATTTTTGACATGGCCCTTTTTGCACTCAGCCAGAGTAATAATTCAAGGATTATGCTGAAGGTGCACACCAAGTAATTAAACAGTATACAAATAATTATGTGGTCAATATTAGCAGTTCATTTTAAGGCAATCAAAGGAGACAATGCCTCCAGTTAAACTGACAACTACACTAGTATACTGTACTGCCACAATGATAGAAAACAATATTTATGTGGGAATTAATTTTAAACTGTGCTAAAGTATCATTGTTTTGACCATTAAAGACATTTAAACTAAGTTGCATCAAACTCTTGCATATTCTTTCTCTACTGTACTGTTAATATGAACAACTGCTACAAGTGAAATAGCATAAAATGCTAGTTCTAAAACACAAGCAGTAAACAGGGTAAGGGTCACTCGTTAAGAAGCTGCAGACTGGTCTCCATTGAAATGAATGAATACTTTGCTGCAATTCAAGAAGCAGCCAAATCTCTTGAAAATGGGAACAATCAGGGATAAGTTAGCATTACAAAACAGACTGACAATTTACCATTCTCCACAATCCTGGGATAAGTTACCTTCAATTCGTCTACCAACCTTAAGCAATACGTATTTGTGTCATTCCAGCAAGGTTTACTCATTGTGTTCTGTGCAAAATGTAAACATTACCAAAATGCCCAAACACAGCTTACAAGGTAACTGATTAATCAAGCCAGACACACATTCAAACAATGTTAAAACTTTTCTGTCCACACTTGCTAAATCAGAAAAAGCTTAAAAGAAAAAAAAAGTGTCCCAGTACATTAATCAAAAGACTGGCAGGACTGGAGGAAACACGAGGGCTTGAGGTAACCGGTCCATGCGACACCTGCCCTACCTTGCTAGTAGCGACGGGCAGCAGAACATCTACATCTACCCTAATCGCTCTCTACAATGCTGCAAGTGAACCCAATGCAAGCAAGTTATTAAACGTAAATGTTACGAAGTTTAAATAATTCTGCACTGCTCATTAATGTCACTAGAGGCTTTGCAGCTAACTGGCAAGTTTTTGTCAGTGGATATTAAATGATTCCTCTATTGTTATTGTGTCATATTGGGTGACTTTAGTACAATCACAAAAAAATTTACTAGTCTTAACCAGATCCCTTTAACAAGTGCCCAACATATGGAACATAAATAGTCACCACAATCATAATGCATCAATGTTGAAGCAACTGTATAATATATTAAATAATTATATTGTTTAAAAATTCAAATCCACATTTCTAATAAATATTTTTCTTTGGGCATTCCACTGTGACAAAGTATTATTGCCAATAATTCTTAATTTAAAGATAATTACATGCAATTGTCATACACTTCTTGCAAACAACCAACATATTTGTCATAAAAAACATTAGTCATGACAATACCACCATATGTTTAGTAGTCCACATCAATTGGGATCACTAAATATAGCATGTGTGTGTATCACCCAGAGAGCATAAGCATAATAAAAAGAAAAGGTCAACAGACTATGTCAGAGTTCACTTTGTACATATATACTATACACGAGGCAAATATGCTTGCTGAAGAGTCACTGGCTACACCACTTCAAGTAGCAGTACTTGTAATGGTAAAAAATCCAATAATACCACATATTACAAAATATGAGCTACTGGAATTGACTATATAGATCTAATTACATTATTTTCTAAATATTGTACAGTACTGTCATCTACAGTATAAAGCCTATACAGTACATACCCTCCATTAAGAAATTGATTTCCATATTTGACTATCTTCAATAAGCTTTCCAAAACTTCAGAACATGCTGATTTAAGCAAAAATTATAAGTTTACTATGTACATACAGTACTTTTAAACTATATAAAAATACCATAGCAATGAATTCATTAGTAGATGCGTGCAATACAGTGGTCCCTCGGTTAAAGAGCGCCTCGGTTAACGAGTTACCTCCCATAAGATTCTTAACTTTGGTTAACGAGCAATCCCTCGATTAACGAGTTTCTTACGAGCCGACCTGAACATGTTTTCGCTTGCACTTGGCGGTCAACCAGCTGTAGTATTAGTCCGACAATACAGTAATCGGTTCTAGGGCTTAAATTCCTTACTATTTTAGTAAATATCAAGATTATACTATTCAATAATTTTAAAAGTTTAATATTAATTTTTTTAGTCATTTTAACAATTATTGAACATAATTGAAGGTAAGGTCACTAGTTTCATGAGCGCCATCCAGCCTGCCAACACACCATACAGGCGTTAGTCTCTGTCTTTTCAGTGGAGGCAACATCTTGCTTGAGACTCTCTTCAACTAAATGCTTTTTTTCCTGCATTTCCAAGCAAATTATTGGTTATTTTGAAATTTCTTTTACATAGGTATTGACAATATATAGCGCAGTGTTATTTTAAAGAAAATAATCTTTAATTACACCAAGTTTAAACTTAAAATATCAAGTGTCGAGATTTTTTGAATCCAGCATGGGGTCTAAGTGATCAAGAAAAGCGATTTCAATCCAAACAAAGCAGGAAATTATAAAAAAACACGAAGAAGGCATTAGAACAAATGCGCTATGCAAAGAATATGGCATGTCGACATCAACTGTGTCGACAATTCTTGCACAGAAAGACAAATTTAAAGAAGTGAAAGTGAGAGACAAATCTACCAGTGTGTTTAAAAGTAGATCCCTAATTGCAGAAACTGAGAGGTTACTTCTCAGCTGGATTAGGGAAAAACAGATGAAAGGTGATTCAGTTTCTACTAAATTTATTTGTGAAAGAGCCAGGGAGATATACAAACATTTAAAGACAGAGCAACCTGGTTCTTCAGGCACAGAGTTTGAAGATTTTAGGGCCAGCAAAGGCTGGTTCGAAAAATTTAAGAAAAGAAGTGACATTTTTAGTGTAGTTTGGCATGGTGAGGCTGCTAGTGGTGATAAGGAAGGGGCAGCAAATTTTTTAGTGTTGTTTAAAGAACTGGTGGAAGAAGAAAATTATCTTCCACAGCAAGTGTTCAATGTGGACGAAACTGGGCTGTTTTGGAAAAAGATGCCCAAAAGAACATTCATCACCGGAAAAGAAGCCTCGTTACCTGGGCATAAACCCATGAAAGACCGTTTCACTCTATGGCTTGGTGCCAATGCTTCAGGGGATTTCCGACTGAAGCCTATGCTCGTCTATCACTGAGAACCCCAGGGTGTTCAAACAACAAAAAGTGGTAAGAGGAAAGCTTGGAGTTTATTGGAAGTCCAACCGTAAGGCATGGGTGACAAGACAGCTCTTTAATGAATGGACTGTTGAGGTGTTTTGCCCTTCTGTCAAGAGCTACCTAACCACCAATAAACTCCCTTTAAAGGCTCTTCTCCTCATGGATAATGACCCTGAACTTGCCAGAACTTTGGAGTAAACAATTTGACTGTGAAAGTGTTGTTTTTGCCTCCCAACACTACATCAATCATACAGCCAATGGACCAGAATGTGATCAGCAACTTCAAGAAGTTGTACATGAAGAAAATGTTTAGGTGGTGTCATCAGGCAACTTCCACTGATCATGAACTAACACTGGCACAGTTCTGGAAGACACAATTCAACATCCTGGAGGCTGTAAAACTGATTGTGTCATCATGGCAAGAAGTCTCCACTAGATCCCCCAATTCTTCATGGAAAGCACTGTGGCCATCAGTAGTCCATGATTTTGAGGGATTTGAGGAAGAAACAGTTGGACCAGGAGATTGTGCCCATTGGTCAGTCATTGGGCCTTGAAGTGGAGGAGGAGGATGTGGAAGAGCTTGTGATGTCACATGAGGAGGAACTTACTCCTGAAGACTTGAAGCAACTGGATGAGATGTTAAAGGCTGACAATGGTGAGAAGGAAAAGGAAAGTGATGACCATATGTCAACTAAAGAGTTGAAAGATGTTATTTACCACTGGGAGAAGTTCAGGAAACTGGCTTCAAGGCACCCAGATGTGGAGAAATCTGAACTAACTTTGTGTCATGTTGAGGACAATGGTCTCCTTTAAACATCCCACGTTAATGATGAGGAGAGATGCCCCACAGACCACAATTGACACTTTCTTCAGTAAAAGGCAGAGGGAATAAGATGCGAGCCCTCAGCCTTCCACTTCAAGAAGGAGTGAGGATGTTCATGGTGGAGAATCTGTCAGTCGAGAGGTTCCTGACAATTTCATGGAAGGTGACTCACCTTCCAAGAAGCAGTAAAATGCTTCTCCTCCACCTCCTTCTCTTCTCTTCTCCCTTCTCCTCCTCCACCTCCCACTTCAAATTCACATCATCATCATCCAGGAGCCTTCTACATACACACCTCAAAGTAAGTGTACATTTCTACCTTTTTTGTTGAATTTAGGCAATTTTCGGTGAGCTGGCACCAATTACCCAAAAACCCATTGAAACAATGGTTTCGGTTAACGAGCAACCTGCTGGAATGGATTGTGCTCGTTAACCGAGGGACCACTGTACCAACAAAATGAACGTGTCACTAAACCCCAGTGCAGTGGCTATAAATCTCCCCAAATTTTCAATAAATAACTTTAGAGGAGTAACTATAACCAATCTGTAACAAGCTACACTGCTTCATTCTTACTCTACATTAAAATACTTGTACTGTACTCTATTCAATAATTCAAGAAACCATGATTACTTGGTTTCTATCATAACAGCTCAGTTATTCATTACTTGAACTGAATTTTCCAGAAAATGTATATGCCAATTTTACCATCAAACTCTGTTTCTAGTTTCCAGTGTTGGCAGGCGATAGTTATCAGGAATCTATTTCATTTTTTTTATGGATTTGTAATTGATTCCATTGTCTTGGAAAAACAATAAATTATAATTGATTCGAAGGCAAATCATACTCCTGATTACATTCCACAATTAAACATACCTAATTGACATTGTGGAGAGCAAAGGTGGGTGAGGCAGCACCTCAACCATGCCACAGGACACAGTGCTGGCTAGTTCCCAAACCAAATACAGGCACTCCCCGACTTACGACGGGGTTAGGGACCGACATCCAGGTCGTAAGTCGAAATGGTCGTAAGTCAGAAATGCTTAAATAACATAGAAAATCGAAAATTTGGGTCTCTTTCTTCTCACACCACAAAACACTCACTTTTAAGCTTGCAAGCCATTTTAAAGGGAATTACAGATGAAAATTTTGTTTGTGTACAGACTTTGGGACTCAAAAATACATAATTTGACCACATTTTGGTACGACTGAGGCGGTTGCAAGTGCGGGTGGACGTAAGTCGAGTCTGTCATAAGTCGGGGACTACCTGTAGTTAAGCACTTTCCAGTTAGGGTATACTGTAATTAGACAATACGAGAAATAAGAGACGCGTGTCTCCTGTCAGTATGTTGTGAAATCAAATGAGGGGAGGGAGAGTGCGGCTGGCCAGTTACAGCTGCTTCAATACAGATGTTCACTTCCCATACACACCCATGCTCTTCATTTTCTTTTTATAGTTTTACAGTATACTGAAAATATAAAACCAACACGGTGTCCCCAGGTTACGAACGGGTTCCGTTCCTGAGGACGGAACACATGCTATGTGCATACTGTACATACAGTACAAGGTTTAAAATCCCACTGTAGTGGCAGTTGCCCCTGGTTTTAATGGTGCTAAGTTACTGTAAGAGTTTGTGTGTATGTCCACCCAGTAGTGGTGTGAGTATTTTGAGCCTGAGGGCATAGTACCAGGAGTTCGTCTGTTGGTACATATAACTTTCTCCTACCTCCATTTTAATGTCTAAATAAATAGTATTTGAATATTGTCTATTATTTACCTACAGTATCTACCGCTATTTCTTCCCTATTACTTGATACTATCATTACATATACCCATGAGCCTCCTCTCGTCACGCTACCAAAAGTTGCAAGTATTAAAGTAAAAGATTGTTATAAGAGGCGCAGGCC